CCCAGGTATGAACTATGTCCTATGTGTAAACACCTTTTTATAATCATAGAGGTGATTTAAACAAAGCAATAACATTCCAGTCTCCCATATAGTTTTTCTGATTCTCCTGTCTACTAGCATTTGGCCTACAAAAATGACAACGTTTTTTAGAGGAACAGGGAAAACATAAGTTTTAAAAATGTAAGCTATTAAAAAAATGTTTATTCTGCTCAGCTCTGGGAAAGATCTTTATACCAGTTGGGACTTCTGTCTGCACAGAAGCCAAAAATAGATGCATTTTATTGGTTGGAACAGTAGCCATGAGGTGCTTATGTGATTTGAGAGAAGCAGTAGAGCACGGTGGTGAAGAGGCAGGTCCTCGAGGCACACTCTCCTCCACTTACTGGCTGCGACATCTTTGGCTCCTTACTTAACTTCTCTGAGATGATGTTTCCTAAATTAGTATTGTTAACAGTATCAATCTCAAAGGGTGGCTCAAAGGTTACAATGGAATAATGCACAGAAAGTCTTTAGCATACTGCCTAGCACACAGTAAGTGCTTAATAAATCGTCAAAATGATGCCACTTACATAGACACAATGTCTGCAATCTTATGCCCCAAAGAAAGGATAAAACCACTTTTAACTTTCTAACCAGAAGACAGTCTCTAAGTCAGGGAAGTGAAGAGTTCAGCAACTCTCCTCTGGTGCTGCTCTCAGCTCATTGTAGCAGAGAGGGCATGTGTGTAAGGCCAGCTGCATCTGCTCACAGGCCACGGTAGACTGTCTGCCTGGTTGTCGGCCCCAAATACCGTGTCCTCAGAGGCCACACTTGGTACACCCTCAAGGCCCTGCAGCACACTTAACAGTGCCTTCCACTGACTGGGCTCCCGTAAACATTGTTAAGCTTCAGTAAACATGTGTTAGACTCTCTGGGTTTGTATACATTTAATTCCTTTTCCCCATAGCTGCTCTTTTCCAAGAAAGAAAAGGAAAGAATCAACAAGAATAAGCTAAATGGGGGAAACAATATGAAATAGTTCACAACAACACTTTGAATTATCCTCTCTGGCAGCCTCAAATCTTGCTCACCTATGTTAGCTAGAATTGCAAAATGTTCCCCTACTAATATAGTAAGAGTCTCTCTTCATTTCTTCACAGCCTTGGGAGTAGTCAGAGAAGAAGAAAGGTGAGACCAGTGAAGCTCCTAGGGAGCCCACAAAGAGACGGTGTTGCTTGGCTCCAAGCTGCTTCCAGCCTGGGAATCCCAGATGTGCCAGACTTGGGGAGGCAGGTTGGGTGGCAGGAGGTTGCGGGATTGGGTCTGGAAGGAGCACATGCACAGCCTGATAGGTACCACGTAAGTCTTCAAGATTTATGTCTAGAACCCAACCCACGTCAGAAGATCTTCCAGGCGTGTGACCATGTCTTGATCTACTTTCTTGTCTGTGTAGGACATAATATTAAGTATGGACGGATGTTTAATCAATTTTACATTCTGATACTCCTATTGCTATAACAGGCTCAGGAAATGAATTCAGCAATGAACATTATTTTTCCAGACACAGAAATCTGAACATAAATCTTGCCTGGATGGAAAAAAGGCTCAGAAATTATGACTTATACTGATATCTGTATTACATGCAATTTTGAAGCTAGTCCTGATATCTGGAAGATCTTTTTAGTTAAAAGAGAACAAGAGTTTCCATGGTAGTCTTGTATTGTGTCAAGTTAGCCAATTTGAACTACATTTCCCAGAATTCTCTTCTCTATAGTGTTCCATTTAGGGTTGGCCACAAGAGAAATCTGCATGAGTTTTGGAAGGCATAAATGAAACCACAACTTAACAGGTGTGTTGGGAGCCAGGTACTATTGCAACTTGCTCAGAACGTCACTGATTGGCTGACTCACTGCATTGGTATCAGGCAGTACCAGGCTTGATGTTTCTTCAGATTCTGCCATAGCTCATTTGATTTCTCCACTTCTTGGGCCAGGTGCATGTGCAGCTCTTTCTGCACATTACCACGGCCATGATGTTGGAGACAATGTGAAACAGACATGGATTCTAGTTTTCCCTTGTCCTCCCCCAGCCATTTCTCATCCAGCTTTTCTTGAACCTGCAGTCATGTCAGGGCCACACAGAATCCAAGGTGATAGCCTTACACAGACTTCTTCAGCAGCTCTCACAATTGTGTAAGATCTAATTCCTATAATAAAGATCTTATTCTATATCTCTCATGGTGGTTCTGCTTCCCTGATTAAACCTTGAACCCTAAGAGATCAATTATCTGTGTTTTATAAGCAAAGAGGCTTTGAGGAAAGTGTAGAATTTATAAGCTTTTGAATGAAGAAATGGCATTTAATACATGTACATGTAAGTAACATCAGTGCTTGCCAATCTAAGCCATAGGCAGGTATGCCAGTTCTCATACTGAAACCATATAAATATATTTCTTTTGACAAGTGCCAACAGCCAAATTCCAAAATAGCAGACCAAACCTTCTCTGTCCTTTCCCATCAAGCCTAATTCCCTTTCCCCAACTATTAGTTACAGGGGGCATGAAATAATGGCAATAGGAGCAAATTCAGAAGAAGGAGGAAATCTGAATCTAGGACTTTCACATTACAGCAATGTGCTTAGAGTTGAGGTATCCATTGTACCATCAAGTCTAATGACGGTTACGGAGACTCCAGTTTTCACAAGAAACTTTCCAACTTTCTGTGACAGAGATTAATATGGACACATTCTCTTTTGCAAGTTTATATATGACCTTGATTATTTACAGTCCAGGATTTGTTTGCATTTAGTTCCTTTCTGGCAACAGACACCTGCAAGGATTTTTTTTTTTTTTTTTTTTTTTTGCCAGCAAACCTGCAGAGGGAGCTGGTTACTTGGAGAAGCAATGAATGCCTTTCTCAGCTATGAAGGTCAATCCATTATTGGGTTGACTAGACTCAAACACACTAAAAATATGTAAAGAAAGTGGACTGATAATTGATGGAAAACAAATGTTTTGAGGATTGAAGCCTTTGCAGCTACTTGAGCTAATGAAGGTGGAGATCATTTGGGAAAGGTCACATAGTACTGAAATAACCTGTTTTTGTGTTTTTCTCTCCCACTAGACTACACACTTCCTAAGGTTAACTGCCATCTACCAACTATATTTGAAATTTCCTAAGAGCAGAGAACGCGGGTCTTATTTTTCTTCATAACTTCATCAGCAAGCACAGTAGTGCCTAGTAATTTTTTTAACTAAAAAGACATTGTTCTTATTAAAAAGGAAAAAAAATCCATATATATTTTTTAAAGAGACACAAAAGAAATTTACCAAAGATCAAGTGGTCTTAAAATTCAGACCAGGAAATACTCTTCTATAAAGGAGCTGGACTCATAACACTGATCATACCAATCCAGGCAGCCCATTTCACCTGTTTTCCCAGGCAAAACAGGGAATTGTGAAACCATAAGGAGATTCTGAATTCCCGAGGGTCTGAGCCAAGCAATTTAGGATTATTTAGCTCCCTCATCTCATGTGAGCTAATTGGAAAGAGAATACAACCAACCCCTTTAAAAAACTACTCAAATCACACAGCATAGCAAGGAGGATTATGAGACTAAGCTAACTGCCACCTACCAAGTATATTTGAAATTTCCACAGTCCCAAAAAAGGAAAAGCTGACACTGTTGACAGCCATGGACTGCTGCAACTCCAGCATATTCATTCTCAGCAACACCTCTTGCTCCAAGATGCACCTGGGGAACATCACTTTCTCCAGCAGCAGAGGAGAAGCTGCACTTGGTAAACTCAGCTATGAAGGCCAGTCATCCTATGCCAGGTGCATCCGAGGTGACAGACTTTGGTATCCCTGGGTGGTGGGCGTCTCCTCTGACTAGGCTTCCAGGCTGATATTTACTACCCTGCATTGGTCTTCTCATCTTTTATACTTCCCCTGAACCAGCTGATCCATTTTCCATGGTTCCCATGACCATCCCCCATCCCTGAGCACTAGACCTGTGTAAATAATAGCAGATTGTCTATTAGCTATCTTCACCTAAATTTCCAGCATTTAACAATGAATTATTTCTTGAGTATTGAGAATGTACCATGCTTGGGATTCATGAAAGAACAAAACACAGACCCCTGCCCTCACAGACCTCACATTCCAGCGACATGATTGCTCAGACAGAACTGAGTAGCCTCCTGGCTCCTGCTCCCCTGCTCCGTGCCTTCTTTTCCACCTCACCCCCACAAAGCACTATATCCCATCAAGTTTACCTCTAATTATCTGTCAAGTATCTAACTCCTCTCCATTCCCTCATCCCAGCCTTCTCAGGTCTCTTTTGGCCTCTTATTGGAACCCCTGCCTGAAATCCCTCCCCCTCCTGGCCATTTCCATGCTGTCACCACAGTGGTCCTTCTGAAACACTGATGTGAGTATAACATTCCTCTGCTGTGACCATTCTCCACTGCTCAGAGGATCCCAGGCCCTCTGCCATCTGGCCCAGCCTCTACCATCAGACTTGCCTTCCACTACACCCTGTGTTCCAGTTACATCTAACTGAGCCCACCGTTCATTCACTTCTCTGACTCTGTTTATCCCCCTGCCTCAGCCCTTCCTCCTTCTCCTGGGCTGCTAAGTCCCCTACTCATCCTTTAAGGACAGCTCAACTGACATCTCTTCTTGGAAGACTTCCTTTACTCAAACAGAAAGTTAGTTCCTTCCTCATCCAATTCAATTTTGATATTGTATTGATCTGCTTCTGTTTTGCCTCCCCTTCCGGACTGAGAACTCACTGAAATCAAGAATCAAGCTATCCATCTTGCACTATCCTAGACATTGCCCCTGACGCCACATCTAACATGCAGGAGGTGCTCAAATAAACAGCTCTCCATTTTTGCTAACCCTCTTGCATTAGAGGTAAAAGCCTTTTGCTCACCAGTGAAGATCCCTGATGCAGTGGCAAGAATTCTTCTCTTTCTAGGGACAGTAGGTATTAGATTAAATAAGGTAATCACTCACTTCACTTCTGGAAGCAACAGCCCGGTGCAGTGGGGTCAGCCACATGTTGTCCTTGGCATTTACACGAGCTCCTGGAACCAAACAACACAAGTTAGAGGAAGAATGGGGTAAAGGGAAGTTCTCCTGATGTTTAGTCAAATGCTGCATCTTGCTCTTAATTGCCTGATACAACCATCAGCTTTTTTTTTTCTTTGCGTCAGTCATGTTCTGAAAAGATTTGATCTGTGAATGAGGGGACTAGAAATCTGCTTTGTCTAAGAATCCCACTTATTTCTCTGGGACTAACCAGATATTTCAGTAAAAAGACTCCAGCTTCCACACAGCTTTTGGACAGACACAGCAGGAAGCCTACGTAGATTGCTCATGGCTCCCTCAAGCTTTGGGGTGGACAGACAGGCTCAGGCTCAAGCCAAAACCAGCTCACACTGAGAGATGCGCCTCATGCTCAACTCTGTAAAGCCACATCACCATCATGGAGCAGGAGCTCCCTGTGAATGGATTCACAGAATGCAGGTGCCCTGTCCTTCCGTGACACCTTCACAATCCTCCACAATCCTTCACAATCACAGGCCCACCAAGTCTGTATCGGAACAGCTAAAATACTCAATACAAGCTTCCCTTTTGGGGGTCAGGGTTTTGATGAGTCAGAGATGGGATGTTTTATAAAAGGGCAACAAAAGAAGAAGAGAAGAAAATATGTAAATGCAAAATGAGAAACCTATTTTATCAGGACACTGAGGAAGGAAGTTCATGAGGATGAAGAGTGGAGGGATGAATGAAAGAAACTAGACAGTAGGGCAGAGGTGGGGAAGTAAAGAAGAGGTGCCTCAGTGAGGGCCCAGGGCCAAGAAAGTGAGTCCAGCACAAGCGGGGGCTGACTAATCTCCACAAGGTCAAGGCTGGCCGGCAGCTGAAAAATAGAAACCTTCTAAAACAGCAGCATGAGACTTCCATGCATAAAAGTCAGCTAGAAGTTTAGTTTAAGGCACTGGCTAAAAGGAAATAACAAATCATAAAATGTACATTATTTTTTTCTTTAACTGAAGAACAAAACCATCAACAGCATTAGTCATAGGAAATAAAAACATAATACCTAAAATAAAGAAAGAATGCCTCTCCTGCAGCAGCCCCCATTCTGATTTCATTGGTTTGAGATAGGGTCAGGCACAAACACTTTTTAAAAGTTCCCCAGGACCTAATCTTATTGTAATATGCTGTCAAGGTTGAAAGCCACTGATGAATTGTTGCTTAGTTTATCAAGGTTAAAATTATTTGAATTGTAATTCCACTAACTCCAGCTTGCCTGAAAGGGCTCAAGCCCTTACCTCAATAAGGAGCACAATGTTGTGCATTGAATTTATTTTCTTGAATTTTTAAAAACATCTTTTGTAAACTCAAAAAACTAATGCAAGAAGAAACCCAAATGATAAGATACATAGGGAAAGATACTATTCAAAATTCATCAGGGAAAAGCAAATGAAAGCAACATTAACATAGCATTTCATACCCATCAAATTGGTAAAGATGATAAAGCGTGAGGACGCCAAGAGTTAGCAAGGGTATGGAGAAACAGAAAGACTTCATATTCAGCTGATGAGAGTGTGAATTGATACAGCCCCCTTGGGAAACAATGTGGAATTACCCAGTAAAACTGAGCATATGCACACCCTACCACCTAGCAATTCCACCCCCATCGTATCCCCTTGAGAAACTCTCACATGCATAAGAATGTTCACTGCAGCATGTTTATAACAAAAAGAAAATGGAATCCTAAATGTTGATCAAGAGGAAATGGATAAATACACTGTGGTATATTTGAACAATGGATGCTACACTGTCATGGAAATGAACAGATGGAAGTCGTGTACATAAACAGATATACACTTCAAAATCATAACAGTGATTGAACAAATCAAGTTGCAGAATAACACCTATGGCATAGTACCAGTTACATAAACTTTTAAAATTTACAAAAAGAATTCTTTATGTTGTTTGTGGATGCATAGATATGAAATAAAAGTAAAAAATAGGGCTGAAGAGAACAGATGCCAATTCTGGAGAGTGGTGGTTGCTTCTAGGGAGGGAAGAGTGGGAAAAGGGATGAAGTAAGAGTATGCAGGAGGCCCCAATTGTCTTCAATGTTTTATTTCCTTTAAAAAAAAATGTGAATATGGCAAAATGTTCAGATTTTTTAAAGTCTGGTGGGAGGTATATGGATATTCACTTATATTATTCTCCATCCTTTTCTGTGTTTGAAATACATCCTAGCAAAATATTTTTAAGAAAGCTAGTGCATTGAAGTTTTACATTTCTTAATAAAAATGGGGAGGGAGGAGGAAACTAAGTTGCTTTTTCTTATACTATTTTTGTTCAGGGTTAGTGGCCCTTGATAGAAAAACAACACTCTCCGTCCTTTCCATGTAAAGTGGCCCAGCCACACACACAGTCACCTCCTAAGGCTCACTCCAGGTGAGAGTAAGAGAATAGGACTTAGAACTGCTGTTGGATCTTACATAACCTTGGTTGTACACAGTCTGATTTGAAAAAGAAAGGTCAAGTTAATGGTGTGCTTCTTGCTGGTCTTACTGTGATTTTCTTCTCATGCTCCCCTCTCAACACAAATACCATAGCTGATCCCTGCTGTAGAACAGAGGCAAAGTAAGCTCACCCAGAAAAAGGCAGGACCACTGAAGTCCGTGCCTACCCATAGGTGAGAGAGCTCTGTGATCTTAAGGAATCCAGTGCTTTCTCTCTAAGTGCCATTTAATTATCACCACATTTAGAACCTGAGCATCTCCACCCAGGAGCTCCCTCAGCAGCCAGACCCCCAGGACACTGAAGAGGGCCGAGTGCATGCAATGTGTGTAGTCCACGTGTGTAGTCCACGCCCAGACCTGCCGCCGTCTGCTTTCGCCACAGCAAGTCTTGATCTTACCTTTGATCTCGCTCTTTCTTCTCCCTCCACCTTTTCTGCTCTCTCCTCTCCGCCCTCTTTCTCTTTGTTCTACATATAAGCCATTTCTATCTTTTTTGTGTGTACATGAGAATGCTCTACAACATGTTTCTAAAGGAAATAACCATCGGTGAATGTTAAGACCAATCTTCAAAGATGTTTTATGGAAGACTGGTCATAAAAGTATTTTATTTAAGAGTTGGTTAAATACTTTACTGTATAGCCATGGTGCTTTATGAGAATACTTGATAAACTGGAGAGCTCTTCACAAACTTTTGTTATATGCCAAAAGTGAGTGCTAAAACATTACCTATAGAATGAGCCCAATATTGTAAAAACCATTGAACAGTCTAGAAGGATATCCTACAAAAGCCCTGAGGTCAATGCCTGGCATGTGATAAGCACAGCTTAACTGTTTGTCAACTCTTATTGGAGCAGAGTCAAGGACTAAAGAATAGCAACTGGGGAGCATCTGCCATGGGCAGAGTTGGAAGCACAGGCAGACCTAAATTAATAGCTGCTATTTGGAAAATCCTTTCCGGTCACAAGAGAGATCCAGTAATGTCTCTTCAACTGAACTGGTGTGGACAGAAGCTATGAAAATTTGCCGATCATAATAAACAGTAACAAATCTATTTCACATTTTGGTCATACAAAGTAATACATGAATGCATTCTTCTTTAAAAAATGAATCATTCTGAATTTTACAAGTCCCCTTGAGTATCGCCAATGCTAGAGTCTCCCCACTCCCTGAAGTTAACCACTGCTCTGAGTTTGATATGCAAGCTTCCAGTTGCTTTTATGTCTTCATATGCAAGTATGTGTCCCTACAAAAAATCTAGAGAATTAAGCCGGGTAGTCTGTACAATATTCTTTTTGTATATTTAAAATAGTACACAATAACTTTTAAAACTATATTACAATAAATACGTTTCACACAAATTGTATTATATTGTACTAATACTCTGAATTTCCTTGTTCCACTCAACATTTTTTATAAATATCTATGTTGATGCTTACTGAGTAAGACTGTCCTTTGAATTGCTACATGTATTCCAAAAAAATACACCACATTTTTAAAACATTCTCTCTATTGGTGGGTATTTCAATTGCTTCCAATATTTCACTACTCAAACAATGAACGTACAGAAAATGACTTCTTATACAAATGTACAAGTATTTGTCTACGACAGATCATTAAAAGTAGACTTTATGTATCACAGGTAGTGAATACTTTTGGTTTTAGTAAGTACTCTCAACCCTCCAAAGTGTGCCAATTTACACACTCACAGTGTGTAAGATTGCTTAGTTTCCCCACATCCTCATCAACACTTGATATTATCAGTCATTTTGAATATTGCAAATCTGAGTCAATGAGACTATGCTATGCACTTAATAATTTATTATGAGAGTAGATCTCATATAAAGTGTTCTTATCAACCATAAAAAATACCCCCCCCGCAAAAAAATTGAAGGGACACAAGGAAACTCTTGGAGGTGACAGATATGTCTGTTACCTTGATTGTGGTGATGGTTTCATAGGTGTATGCATGTGTCCAAACTCATCAAATTGTATACACTAAATATGTTCAGTTTATTGTATATCAATTATACCTCAATAAAGCCATTAAAAAATAATATAAATATTGCAAATCTGATTGGAAGAAAATGGCATCTCATTTTTGTGTTTTCCTGTTCAATGATGAGATCGTGCATCTTTTAATATGTTTATTAGCCATTTGTAATTAATTTTCTGAGAACTACTGGTTCATATTCTTTTACTACTTCCCCATTTTTCTATTTTTTTCTTATTTATATGTATATACTTTTATTGTTTTTACTATTAGTCATAGTAGTAGTATATTCTCAAAATTTTTAGTTTTACGCAGAGCCAAGTGCGGCTTTCAATATTAAAATTCCATCAAAGAGAAAAATGACTGCAAGCATCATAGAGCATCATAGAGCAACACACACCTGACATGTAACAACACCAGCATTGTTTACCTGCAGCTTCAGAGTCACAGGAGAAATTTAAAGATAATTAGAAATCTAGGAAAGGGCTTCCTTCAGTCACTCCATTCCATCTTTCAGTCCACCCATCCTTCTCAAGGAGGCAGCTGCCAAGAAAACCTCCTCTCCTGCCACAACAAAAATTATGATGACAAAACCACATTCAACTGAATGAAGAAGCATTTCATCAGTGTCATCTCCTGCGGCTGCTTCCTCATCCTCTTCCTCTAAGTGCTTTCGAGAGTCTTGTTTACATGTCAGAGGGAAGCGTCAGATGGCATTGGCTCTGAATTGAATATTTATAACTGATTTTTCTAAAGGAAGCCTCACGTTATTTACCTGCCTGTCAGGCACCATTGTGCTCTGAAGGACACAGTCTGCATGTCTAATGATTTAAAGGCAAAGGCTTTTATACCCAAGGACATTTTAAAGCTTAAACATGAAAATAAGTACTAGGCTATACTGATTCTTTAGAAACAAAGGCCCAACTACAAATTATCAGGCACAAACCCGAACTGCCAACTACGTATGCTGTTCATCTTATCCCTATTACCTCTTAATTTTATCTTAATTTTATTTTCACTGAGATCAAACGTAAAGGAAACTCAGCAAGAAGTAGAACGAAGAAAAAAAGGAGGACTGAGGGCTGAAAAATCTTACAGGCCAAAGAGAATGATTCCTAAGGTTGGTTTGTCCCAAGTTTGGCTTTTAATAATTGAAATAAACATAAAAGAAAGGTCATATAAAATATGATTATAATATAACGAGATCAGTTTGCTACTGATCTTTTAAAAACAAGCCAAATCTCATTACAGCACAGGAGCACTGTTCTTCAGAGTAGTTACCTTGGAAGAGTGTATAATAATTCCATGTATGTGACAATCACTCAAAATATTTTTAAAACTCCCCTTGGAGTTGCCTTTAGAGCCAGTTTACACACCCACCAGAAAATGGCTCATTACTTTACCACATCTATGAGCCAAAGTCAACACTGCCTGGTTTAATACCCCCCTCTTTCACCAGATAAACAGTATCAAACACATCTTCAAAGGATGAATATTTGTTATGCATAAGGGAATCAAAGGAATGATGTGCCACCAGCTCTGGAGGCAATTTGCACTGAATGAGGTAAGCAAATTTGAAAAAAAATTTTCATAGGAAACAATTTTGCATGACTATCACTTATTTGGTGACCTAAGTTCTAATAAAGTAATCTTACCCAGTAGTCACACCTCACAAACACTCCCATGTTAGAGGGTGAGTACTTCCAGTTTTCTTCCTTCAACCCAGAATACGATAACCCTTGCTTATCCTCAGAGTCTTCTCTACAGAATATTTCTACGGTGGTCATTTTTCTGTGTGCTCTGCTTCCTGTATCTTAACCCTAGTCTCTTAACTCTTAGCCACTGATTGGTTCTCGCTGATCTCATTAACCCTCTCTCTGCATTAATCCTGGCTCAGCCAGTTCCCAAACAGAACCTAGAGTCAGGGGGAAAATAAAGCCAGAATTTGGACTGGCAGTCATAAGAAGGTACAAATTTACAAGGCCTGAATTCCTCCCTCAAACCTTGTCCTCCCTGTCTGCTCAGAGGCATTCAGGGTTCCACCTGCCTGACTAACAAGAGATAATGTTAGTAGAAATTTAGCGGGATGGAATTACATCACGCTTTGAAAGTTAATACGACAATAGAGAATACCGCTGTAATGGGCTGTTCTGGCAAAGACAAATTATTTGTCCAACATGGGAATCATTAGCACGCCATTCATTATTAAATTGGAAAACAGTTTGGTTGGATTCCCTAAAGGGTCAGCTGCCAGATGCAAGCTCAGAGATGAAATCACCATGCTCTTGCAATGATATTTCTTTAGGAACATAATGTATAAAATGAATAAAGGAACTTTCAAGAAAAATAAAAGCCACATGAATTCCAAGAGCACTTGCCTCAGCTTCCACAGTTGAATAAAATTGCTAAAGAACATTCCCAATGCTCTCCCAGGCTCTAAGACTTCCAAATTTGATGGGAGGAAGAGGAAAAATTCCACAGCAACTTGAACCAAAATTATACTAAAGAGATGAACAGCCCAGTAATTCCCAGACCAAACAAGTGTACAGATCAAGATATATGTAACAGCTTCTCCCGGCTCTACTGAATCAGTCAGAGTTAAAAAGTGGCCCACATGAAGGTGATGTGAAACCAAGTTTCTCAATCACCGGGCCCAGATGCCTAAAGAAAAAGATGGGTCAATTCACACTGCAGAATTAAAACCATCCCTTTCAGATGTAGAAACAACACCACCACAAAGTTGGAGTCTAGGAGAAAGCTTTGAATTTGCACATTCACGAAACAAACATTCTTCTGAGACTCTGAGAGATCTCTTAATGCAACACTTGGGTTGTAGGTACAGCTGGTTGGAACCATTAGGTGTCATACCACAAAATTATTTTACACCACCACTGATTCTGCCTGCAATTTCCCATGGGCCAAATTTCAATTGCAGGGGCAACTGGCCAGGTGTGCACTGGCACTTAGCCACAGTCTGTGCCAACACCAAACAATACATGTTTGTTTGGAACACAGCCCTGGAATGTCTTTAGATTTGTCAAAGGAAGGCCAGTTCTGAAGAGCACAAGGAATGCCACACGAAACCTAACTTAAGCTCCACATGACTGTCAAGAGCACGGGGCACACGTGCTCTGGGTCATAGAAGCCTTGTTTCCTGGGGAAACCCACCTCAAGAACATGAACACAGCAAAATTCAGGGCAATGTGAATCTTCCCGTGTATCATGCACAATTCTTGTTTCTTTTCCACGATGTTCTCAACATCTGCTTACATAACATGTATCAGTTCCTACCTCTGCATAGCTTACTTTGGAATTCTACAGTTCCCTTTACTACTGCAGACAAAGGCAAAACCTTTTTATAGACCTTTTGCCTAGTCCGTGGGCAGAGGCATTTCCTTCAGATTTTAATCTCCCTAAACAAAGAGGAGGAGGAAGAGAGACAGCCTGTCTGCACATACAACCTACAATGTGACACGTGCACATGCTCAGATTCACTCCAGAGATTTGTCTAGCAAACACTCAAGGCAGAAAGCACATAATGGTTTTGGAAACCTGTTTGGTGAGATGTACTGAGCATACAGGTTTCCAAAAATGACAATCTTGGCATTTTTAAGTCCAATGAAATATTTAAAATACATAGAAAAACAAAGAGAATAATATCACGAAGACTAGTGTACACACAAACCAAATTTAACATTTTCCATATTTGCTAATTTTTAAAAAATAAAATATTTTACAGAGAGTGGTAGTTGTCTCTTTTATACCTGTCCCTGAAGACACTTCTCACTTAAGCTGCCTACTCAGAAGTAACCACTATCCAGAAACTGATGTTCCCTTACCTTCCATGTTTTTATACTCTTATTACAAAGTCATAGTCACGTGTCCATAAACAAGCACTATATATATGTACTGTGTGTGTATATATATGTATAGTGTATAACATATATTCTACACATGTATGTATACACAAACATATACACACATATATACTATATGTGTACTATATATAGTGTGTGTGTTTCACTTATGGATACATGACTATGACCATGTAATAAAAATATAAAAACATGGAAGATAGGTTTTGTGCTTTGTAGCACAATTTAAATATATGTAAATATGCACAGTCACTGAGTATATACACTCAGTGTGTATATATATATATACATAGTCGTTCCTCCATTTCTGTGGGTTCTGCATCTGTAGATTCAACCACCTGTGGATCGAAAATATTTGAAAAAAATTGTGTCTGTACTTAATACATATAGACTTTATTTTCTTTATTATTCTAATTATTGTCATTATTCCCTAAACAATAAGTATAACTGCTTACATAGCATTTACATTGTATTAGGTATTATAAGGAATGTAGAAATGACTTAAAGTATACAGGAGAATATGCAGAGGTTATATGCAAATACAATGCCATTTTACATCAGGAACTTGAGCATCTGTTGATTTTGGTACCCACAGAGGGGGCCTGGAACCAATCCCCCATGGACACCAAGGGACGACTTATAGGTGTGTGTGTATATATACATATATGTGCTGTATATAACATATATATATGTAGTATATAGTGTATATATAGATAGTATTATGTGTATATGGAGTATATATTATACACTATATATGTACACAAATAGTGTGCGTGTGTGTATGTTCATGTAGACTTTAAAGCAGTTTTCTTTCCTTTTCTTTTTTACAATTAAAAAAAAGTCAAAAGTTATCCAAATGTCCTAAATTCATCTACAGTGCTGGGCCTGACTAGATAGTCAGGAATCAGACTTTCAAGGAAATATAAGAATTTCACTAGAGAAGCTGTTTTTCCATAAGAACAACTTATTGCATTGTCTCTCACGCATGGACAAATCACTGATCAAATAAACTTCTATGAGCATAAAAAGGAATTTTGTTTGGGTTCACTATAGTAGTCAATCTAGTAAGTTGGTCATTTAAACTTTCATCTGCAGTTGACTTTTGAGTACAGCCGTTATTTACCTGACAGAATCAGAAGTTCAATGATCTCTGCATCTCCCAGAAATGCGGCCACATGAAGAGGTGTTCGTTTCTCAGAATCCTGAAACAAACAACATCAGAAATACACAACAGGTCAGTGGTGGCTGGAGGCACCTTTTGTAGACATAGTAAGACGTGCCACTCATTCTGAGGTTAATACTTGTGGAAGAGCCTGAAGGGCAAACACCTATCAGGTAAGCTCTGGTTATAATTTCCTCCTAGCACACCCCACAGTCACACATACAAAGGATTCCATTTTCTGTGTCTGCGAGAGTTTCATTTTCTTGGCCTGCCTGCTCCTTTTACTTAAGTCCAGCTCAGGTCAAGGACGGACCATTATGTACTGGATGATGAATTTTAGTTTATTTGCAAACCTTTGGTATAGTTAAAAAAAAATATTCAAACCTCTCTAACCTACCTTCGCAATAGTTCAAAGCTTCCAAAGGTTTATTTTCTTTCTAAGGGAACATAGTGGAACTGTTCACAAGGACATTAAACATAAGTACAGTTATCTTCTTTCTATCCTCACTTGCTGTTGCCTGGACCACTGCTCACTCATATGATACTTACTGAATGCCTACTCTGTGACAGGAACCAAATTCTGGGGACAGAGGGGTGACTGCAACAGGCTTCGTCCCTGCTCTCATGAAACTTACATTCAAGTGGAAAGGCTGACATCAGCCAGTTAAATAAACAACACATGAGACCATTTTGGAAGGTGATAAAGGCTATGACAAAATCAAAACCAAGTAATGGGATTAAGTGACTAGGGAGATGGGAATAAGAGTGGTCAGGTAAGGCCTTTCTGAGGATATTGACATTTAAGCTGAAAGCTGAGAGTGATGTTACTATCTCTGTTTTATAGATGAGAAAACTGTGCCTCAAATAAAGTAAGAAATTCTCTCAAGACCCCAGAGGTATATAGCAGAGCCAAGACTGGACCTTCACCTGTCAGACTCCAGTCTGTGTCCTTGGCAAGGCATTTAATACACAGTGCTGAGAGGCACAATGATAACGTGCAGGGGAAAAACTATTGCTTCCCCATGTGCAAGTTGGAGATAATAATATCTACCTTAAAGGACTGATAAGAGAAATCAAAATAATGTATATAAATAAAGGCCTATGCAAGCAGGAGGCACATGCACGGCCAGTGTTCCATACATAGGTGTGATTGTCATCAGCATAGATAGCTGTGACACCTGTCCTCCAAGACTGAAAACTCCCTTGAGGTAAAGTTCTGGTCTTACTCCCCTTTATGCCCACAGTAGCAGCATACTAAGCACTCAGCATAAATTGGTGGGACTGAACTAGACTACCTGCACGGCCCCTTCCACAGACTTCCATCAACTACTCCATAACAATGGTAACTAAAGCCTGTATGCTATGTCTTTAAGGTTTCTCCCAAAACTAGGATGCATTTTCATCTCAGGATGCTTGGATTTGCTGTTGATTTTAATCATCATTCCTGTTACCACTTGATTACGCAATCGACCTAACGACCCTTGATTAGCCCAAGGATATTATTCTATTTTCTGACAGTCTTGGTCCTCTGCTCTTCCTCTGTCGCTCTCAGACGATTGCTTTTAGGCATTTCATAATGCACTCATATCTTAAACAGATGGCAGGCAGGGGACATGACAAGAATTGATCTTCAAACCAGTCTGTTTGTTAGAAGGTATGGTGAATAGGTTTTACCAAGAAATGCACTAACATTAAGTGGATTTTAAAAGGTGTTTGAAATAGCTGGAAACTCAATTGTCTTTGTCTGGCTGCAGGCAATTACTACAAAAAAGTGGAAATAGGGCAGTCACACAACTATAAAATAATGGTATGTGCTGGAAAATTCAGTAAGATATATGACCACGGTCAACGCTATTAGAGCTACATCACCCTATCTTTGAAAATAAAGACTTGTTATTTGAAAACATGTTTGCTTATTTGAGAATCAGGGTATTAATTTGTGCAATGAACTATACAAATAACAGAGGTCAAACTTCCACAAATATTTTCTATTTCTATTACTTCTATGGATATCCCTACAAGCATTTTCCATTTTAGCTTCATATTCCCTTTGAATCATCACTATATCACTTAAACATTTCTCTTGGGTCTTTGGATAAAAGTTATGTAATTATATGTTCTTCTGTGAATTGAATTAGTTCCAGGGTTTGGTTCAACAAATTAAACCTTGCCTAAGTGATTTAAACAAGGACTATCCCAACCCAAATTATGACTTCATTTGACCTGAAGCAAAGTCAATGCTCTGTTTGAGACCTTGGCCTCAAATAAAAAGCCAAGAAAACTCCACCATCTCTCCCTCCCTTGCAAATCTGATTGGCCTGTCATTATGTGACCGGCTTTGCTGATTCTGTGGCTCCTTTTATGACATAGCTTGTTTAAACTCAAGTTTCTATAAGATTAAAAGGGTGCATTCTATGAGATCATATTGTAAAAACTCTTGACTATGAAACCTAGTGTTTCTGTTAATATGTATTTAAAGGTTTCCTGTACCTTTCAAGACAACTATGCCAATTGGTACTCTCCTTCAGTGGCATGGCACAACAGGTAACCGCAGAGAAGACCTGAATTCAGACAGCAGTCCTTTAGTTCTCTGAAGCAGCAGAACCATATAAACAAGCATTTGCGCTGTTAAGACCTTAACCAAAATAACAGTGCATTTCCACTACTGACCAAGGATTGCTAACACCTGCTCTCCAGCAAGAAACCTGAGCAATGTGCAAAGATCATGAGTCGAGGGGTGAATGATGGAGCCACAGTAATCATCAGGCTCGATAAGGTAAAATCAGCCAGAAGTCACAGTACATCCTCTGCCTAAGTATAAGGTCACCCTACTTTGCCATAAGCCAAACTAATGGAGTAGGAGATGCAATGATAGAAGAAGGAGGGTAAAGGCTGTGGAGAAAGAAGAATACTAGTTTAATATTAGTATTCAGGGTTCCAGGCCACTGATATCTCTAGGGTATCTAGAAGAAGAAACAAACCTACTGGTAATTATTAAGTGCTTTTATTTATTTTCAAAATGCCTTCTCATCTATTCTACTACTTGATCTAACAACATCCGAATCAGGAGAGACACACCTTTTACAACTATGTTCTTAAGTCTTATTATTACATTTAAAAGATAAGGAATCTGAGCCCTGGGTAGGTTGTATGACTTGCTCAACAGAGCAAATTGATGTCGAAAAATTAGGTGTCCTGGCTCCCAACAAAACTTTCTTCTTTATAAACAAGAAAGCAAGACATCATTCTTAGAAGTTGCCTTGATAATCTAAAAACCTTTTTACTATAATCCCCAAGATATCCTGGAAAAAATGTGACAAACATATGGTAAACATCCTTTTAAGAGAGCTTACAAGAAATTAAATGGAAAGGGGCCAGAAGTGGAGAGTAAACCAAGAACCAAAGCTGGAAGCGCATGAGCTTATACTGTGGGGAGAAGTCAGTGCTCCAGGGGCTTGGGCCTGACCACTTGGTAGGGCATAAGAGATGAGGGGGACAACTGGAATTGAGGGCATCACAGAAAGAAAAACCCTTGAAGTGATCTTGAAGACTCTTAAAGTGAAATGGGAGGGCTTGAAAAAAAGCCAAACATTCACACAGGCAGATGGCAAAGAGGTGCCTTGTCCGGGGCTCTTGGTGGGAAAATAAAAATATCTCCACTGAGCATTTGCATCCCCGGACTCTGCCCTCATGTGTTTGGGGTTTTGAATTCACAGTACTTGTAGAGTCCAGGAACTTTTCAAGTTGAAAATAGGCTTTGGATTCCAGGCCAGTGATACCTTAGCTAGGGTGTCTAGAAGAAGAAACAAAACCTAGCTGGAGAGGTACACACTCAATCCAGGCAGCCCGGGACACCCATGGGTTAAATTTCCACTGAAGATGAACTCCCAAGCCCAAGCCACGAGGCCCATGTGCAAACAACTCCCCAAAAGCAAGAGTCAGCAGACTAACAACCAGCAAAATTTGAGATAATAGAAGAATCAGACAGAGATTGGGCATAATGCTTAAAATAACTTCCGACTTGAAGGACAAAGCCCAAGGGAAAAACAAAACACTTTTTAAAAAACAAACTGTATTTGGGGGAAGAGGTATGAAGGAAATGTTTTGGGAAGCAGTACCAGCACATGCTACAAATCATTTAAAACTTTGGTATGAGAGGGGTAAAAACTGGAAGAGTAAAAAGGAAAGGATAGGAGAAAGGAAAAATAAGTACAATGAATTTGGGGTATGTTTGACAATCATGTATTTAGCCATATTTTCTAGACATAGATGTTTATTGAGAAGCTATTATATGCCAGACATTGTGGTAGATTTTAAGGATACAAAATTTAAAACATCCAGTCCTTTCACTTTAAAGAAACTTACCAGACTAGTTATCAGTTTCCAAATTTAATACATCAGAACAAAAACAATAACAGGGAATGGCAAATAGTGATATCCATGATGTTAAATGATTGGTGAAAATTACCAAATGCAATAAGACAAATGTCTTAGTGAATACTTTCCCCCAAACCATCCAATTCTGAACTGGCCTGGGCAGGATATCTCAATTTACAGGAAAAAACCTCTTCTGAATTTGAGAAATAAACACAGCTTGCCTCTATCTCGCTGGAGGTCCTATTGGCTCCAGTTTATCTGGGAACCTGGGAAGCTCTGGGCCAGACTTCCAGGTCAGTCGCAGAGCCAAGCCTTTATCTTACAGGCTGAGTCAGGGGTAGTTTCTGGGTCCAAATTAGAATCCAGGACAAGAGATGCATTCAGGCGTAGTAGCTGAGCTTAGCACTCTGACCATTTGCTTTCCTTTCCATCTTTTTTCCCAGGTGGACTCCCTGTGATACCCAACAGTTGGTGAACGGTTATATAGGCCTTTACAACACCCATGAATACAAGAGGGGGGAAAAGCAAGCACAGTAAGATTAGCACACTCCAGAAACAGCTTATCAGCATAGTTTTTTAAAATCATCCAAGTATCACAAACAAGCAGATCTTTTTCCATCACCCAGTAGCTCCAATTCCAAACAGCCCTTTGCAAACAGATTC